TTCGATATAGCATCTATCAGCTGGAGTAGGTGAAAGTTTAATAACCCTTATCAATGAGGTTTTATATATTTCATAACCGCGAGGGTTACACCTCATTCATCACCCAAAAATCAACCGTCCAAAATCCTAGTGGTGGCATTTGATTATGACGTCCTGATAAATATAAGCGACGAACCCTTTCCAGATCCATAAGAATCTTTTCCAAGACCAGAATCGATTGTATGATTTCGACGAAAACACTGGGATAAAATGCCGCAGTATAATTACCAAAAAGTATACTGAATCCAAGCTCGATCTGACCATCCACGTGTAACCCCTCAATGCCGAACTTCAGGCAAGGTAACAAAAGGTACCATCGTTTGATGCATGATGCAGCAAGGTATCGAACACACGACCTTACGCGCTCCTGACAACCGCTATACCCTATACCTCACTGGATGATACGATAATTCATCACAATATTATGATAATTTAGCCAGAATGTCCTGTCTTACCGTGATGTGGTTATTGATCCCATTGGGATCACGATCTACCAAGTCTATCATATCTGCCATGTTTTATGTCCGAATGGTCTGGAAACAGTCCGTGCACTAAGATATCTGACAACTGACCACTGATGTATTCTGACCTATTTATCAACAGCGTCCATGGATACGAGGAACAAAATCGCGTCTCTTAGTGATTACCTCTCTTGGAGTTGGCTAATTGTTGTAAAGGATTAGCTCTTGCGTAACAGGCCGGTTGATGTTTTCAATGCTGGTACTAAGTGGCATGAATGAATTCAGGATTACACAAAGAAACTGGTTTCACACCATTTGGCAGGTTTTAACATGTATGTGTTTGTGGAAATAGATAACTCACACCTTCACGACTTCCATATGGTCACCTCAGTATCGGTTGCACTTCCACTAATTTTGCATTCATAATATGTTCATCACATATGCGCCGTCTGTTTTGACAAATACTCGAGACTGTTGTTTATTCCTGACTTTGACTTTCTATTTTCATGATTATCAGTATAATCTTTTTTAAATATTCCTACCGACGGGGAGGGCCGTATATGGGGAGCGGGGAGGACGGTTGGCTCGGGGCACCTTAGTGTTGACGTTAAGGATCACAATGCCCTGAAGACTGAACTTCACACAGATAGAATATGTGCAGCCCTAGGTCCGGTCGGGTACGGTCTCAACAATCAGGATTCTGACAGAAGCATGTAATGAATTATTATAGAGAGTGAGGATAAGCCCCATATTGAAAACGTGGCTTTTTCGGGAATGAGTTTTACGCTATGTTAGCGTTGAAGAAACAGTATCAACAGTGTGAAAAAAACTTTACATTTCATCAGTAATATGTTCGAAAGGTATGTAAATATATGCAGTTAGATATGAATTGAACATTGTCACTAAATCTTAAAACTACAATGACACACATAATAACTACTACCTCATATGGAAGCTATCAGTGCCACCTTCTAATTTTTTTATCACATTCGTCTACGTAGTTGATACGTATATGTACGTATATAATATTATAATCAGCTTATTAGAAGGTATCACTGTATTTTCTCGAATATTCGACAGTTGTTCCGCCTCTGTTCTATGTAATCTCTCTCTCGATTGATTGATAATTTATTTTGTTTGCCTTGATGTGTCTTTATTGGGTAGGATCAAAATAGTCAATAAAGTAACACTTCGTTCAATGTGTCGAAGTTATATGGATGTATTTAAACTTAACGATGAAACTTTGAAATGACCTCAGTAAGTAAGGCCAAATGTGCTGTTTGTTTGAACATTTGGAAATATCGGATGGAGTTTTGCTGACATTAATACAACATGAATGCTAAATATGAATTCCCCATGTCTGTATGCATCGGGGTGGTGTATACGTGTAGACAAATACGAAAAAGTAGTGAAAACGCAAAACAAAAGCAATCATTACTATGGAACAGGACAGGTTCATACGTTTCGTACAGCCTTCGATAGACTCACCACTGTACCTCTACAGTTACACCAATACTAGGATTTCAGCCCAGACAGTGATGAACCATCTACGCGCCACTGGTATTCGACGAAGATGGCCATTCTGACTGATCAGCGTCGCCGGCTGCGGCATCAATGGTGTCAGGACAATTTGGTTTAGTGACGAGTACAAAAGACATGTATACATACGTCATGGGGAACGTTACGTTCGAAACGTGCATGCAGGAAGTGGGCAGATTTGATAGTGAAAGTGTCACAGTGTGGGCTGCCATCTCCCACACCGGTAGAACAGACTTAGTACACGTCCATGGCATTTTAACGTCACGACGTTACACAGGTGGAATTTTTCGGCCACAAGTCCTTTAAAAAAATCCAAGTACTGCCTTTAAGGCCTCCAAATTTAAACCCCATCTAACATTTGTGGGGTGCATTTTATCAAGATCAGCAACAGCCACTGAACTCACAGGAAGAGTGGCTGAACATTCCCCAGGCCATACTTCTTCATCTGATTGGTTCCGTGGGGCTTCGATGCCAGGCAGTTCTTGACCACAGAAGGTATTGGGAACAGCTGACCTTCTCCTTGACATTCGATTATTTCACGTGGGTCCTCGCTTACCTCTGTCAGTGGCAGCGACTTGTGACAAATTTGAACAATTTATTGTAATTAAAAATTATTTAAAGTATACATCTGAAAAACACCTTTCCTGTTCTATTTGCAGAGTGTATAACCAGTGTAAGTCAACTTCACAATATAACATCACCGTCACAGTAACGATTACAATACCTGAGTGTATCGTTTACGTAGATAAAAGTATCCTCTAAGTAGATGTAGGCATTGCTTACGTAGGTGATATAAACTGAGGCACTGGTACGCTTCCATATCTTACCATATATGTTAGAAAGTTTCATTTGGTAATATGTTTTATACCTAGGTGTATATGCAAAAGAAAAATCACATTTCTTTTATAGCTTGGTTTTATTACAATCTCGTCATGTTGGTTTGATTTTACGCAATTTTGAACAACATGTTTAATAATTACATCACTTTATATCAGCTAATAGGAAGAAATCCTAGTGATGAAGATATCATGGTGACAACTTTGGTGAAACCCTCAAGAATGATGTTTATATGGAAATTATGTTAGACCTATACAATAGAGCATGATGCCCTTATGTCACAAATACAAATAGCCGGGGTCATGTTTGTTTACTAGTTGTGTTTTCCCTACTTATAACGGCGGCCAATAAATGTCTTCAGTAGACAAATTAGAGGTTGATATTAGGAGCAATTGTCACGGCGCCTGTTCTGCCCTGGTCTTTGGCACTTGGATGTACAAGCATTAGGGTTCGGGGAGGGGGGTGTTAGAACGCCTCATGCACTAATGTACGCCACAACTCGTTATGGTTAACACGATGATAAACATTTTTCGTATGTCAGATATTTGCTTTTTTTCATGTTGTTTCTCTGAAATCTGATTTTTCCAGGGTGCTGGCGATGATATCATATTTTTGTCAATATTTAAACAGAGAGTTATTATTGAGAGACACGCACATGCACACGCATACGCACGCAAAATCTGCATCTTGATACCACCGAGTATTAAGGTTGCCTCAAATCATGATCTACTTTCCCCCATCAATCAACATTAATATTTTCTGGGGGGATACAGTAATAGATTTTATAAGTAATTCACGCATACGCTGTTTTTGTCAAGTGATACATTTCGTTGTAACGTATCAGTCGGCAAATATCATAGACAACATTGCTATTTTATCTCCAAAACATATAGCATTAAATGTCATTTTTGTGAACCTGGTATATCAAATTTTGATATCTACAAGCATCCCGGATGCACGGGACTTCTCCAGTGAGGGGATTCCAAGTCGAACCCACCAGTAACCTTCAAGGAAATACAACTGAGACTCCCAAATACCACAGCCTTCTGTATTACCCATGGTGCCAGAAGATCTGTTTCCCGGCAGCAAACACTCGTACTCTTTCCATTCTCTTATATGTGAAAGTATAATTTTTTGTGGTTGACGTCGCAGATAAATAAAGCCGTCTTTCAACGGGAATAGTAAATTTTCACACACTGGGCCTCCTAACCGCCATATGTATCGTATATAGTTGTGTAAACAGTAATGTTAAATTCGGTTTTGTATGTATTGCAAGAATATATAACATTCTCATCTGGGGCTAACTGAATGCCGCCTATAGCTGGAATATTGCTGAGTGCAGCGTTAAACAACAAAACACAAACCAAGCTAAATTTCATGACAGGCTTGTCCTGCTTAACTGTCGTTGTGGGTATCAGGCAATGATGTGTCCAAGAAAACAATGCATTATATAAGGGACTGCTTCGTGGTCACTTCAGGCCAAGTCTACTTATACAGTAAACGCGCTGTGATATAATGCCCAAAAAATTCAATGTAGATCAAAACACATCTCGCTCACGCACCCACACGCCAACCACCCAACAAGCCAAATCTTTGAGTGAGTGAGTGAGTGAGTTTAGTTTAACGCCGCTTTTAGCAATATTCCAGCAATATCACGGCGGGGGACACCAGAAATGGGCTTCACACATTGTACCCATGTGGGCGTGACGAGCGAACGCTTTAACCACTAGGCTACCCCACCGCCCCCCAAATCTTTGAACGTACCACACTTGGCACTTATAGGAAATGTCTTCTTTATTACCGTATTCAAACAAAATATAACAGAGAAAAAGAGTACGTTTTCATGATTTATTTTCATTTATCAGTATTGGTGTCATGTTACCGGTTGTTAGAATACGTTATGTACGAACAAATTTTGAGAAAGGCCGGTAGGAAATGTGATAATTACTGATGTTGCTCAGTAATCAGTAATTTGTTTGACAATATCTTGTCTTCAGTTGTCTTTGTAAATGCATTGAACAGCATGCATCAATACACAGAGAAGAAAACTATTATGTTTCTTTATGTACTAGATGTATTCGAAAACAGTGGAATAATTTCAAGTGTAGTCCAGCAAGGTGGAAAGATCAGCTCGTAGTCATATTGGAATGTCAGAGATCATGATGGTTGAAGGATACCACTGTTTTCGAGGCACCTACTCTAGTTTAATGTTTTTGAAAGGCTTGGAAGAGCAGGCCACAACCTTCACAGCAGGGGTCCAACAGACAGTGGACACACATCCCGTAGAACTTCTTGATGCAGCCACAGTTCAGTTCCAAGAACTTGTACATTGGCGTGATGATCCAGATGTGGGCGAATGCGACCACAGCAAATTCACAACCCCATCGAGCAGCTATGTAGATTCCGTAGAAAAACGTGAGAAGGTTGTAGACACAGCTCTTCCAGCAGTTGAAACACCTGAAGGAGTTGACCCACACACAGTCCAAGCTGTGGATGCCCTCTGGCTCAGCCAAGATATCCTCGAAGGTGACCTGTAGTGAGATAAGAATATTTAACAAACATCTCTTCTCTGTTTTCATTTCGTCTTGTGGCAAATCACCTTGTAACCATGGCTATTAGCAGACATATAGGATATTTCTTTCACAATACGTTTCAACGATCACTTACAAACAGTTGCATGTGTATTAACAACTTTAAATCTGTACCATAAAAATGCAGCAAATCACAAATATTATTGTAAGCATTTAATATCATGGTCAAACGAACTCTGTTTATTCAAACCTGTTTTGACGCAAGCTTCCAACAATGAATAAACACCTAACTTGTACCATCAGATATACCTGATCTTCTTGAATGTAAGTGTTTCGTATTGAAACTGTCCTTAACGTGCTAAGGACAATGTATCCTATTGCTAACTGTACATGTTGCAGGTGATTTCTTTATGGAATTCAAATGTCAATCAGTTGTCATGTATATGATACATCACATACATTATTGTTCAAGTGTACTTGCCCGTATGTTTCAACCAAGTAACACAAAGAGCGCTAGTCATTAAGTACCAGCCTTCAATGGTGACCACCCTAGCTGTTGTATCACCATTAAATATAACTCAAGCAAAGTGATCCTTTTCTTAGATGCGTTTTGCAGTCCGTACTCAAAAACGGCTTCAATCATCACCGAGTTAAATCTGTTGACAAGGTTAATGATACGTTTATAGTTATTTACCTGGATGTGGTCGTTGATGTTGTTGGGATCCCTGTTGGTCAAATCAATGTCCATGGCTGAGCTAGGTATGTGATCAACTCCGAAGGTGTATGGTCAGCTGATGTCCTTCATTTGTGACCACAGACTTTATATACGTCCATGTTAGTGATTGTATCCATGGACGCAACTGTAATCCCTGCCCAGTTACAAATGAAGACCTTGTAAATGAACAAAGGACCATTTCATAACAGATAATCCGAGTATTGTGTTCTCGGCGGAGCGTTTAATGTCTGTTTGCCTGTTGTTCAACGCCCCACTCGGCAATTTTCAACTATATGCCAGCCTGTAAATAAACGAGTCTGAACCAGGCAATCTAATGATCCAGTGATTTGGGATACAGTTAGATGTTTTAACCCAGTCAGCCAAGAGGGCCCACCCGATAACGTTAATTACTAGCCTCTTACAACAAGCAGGGGTTGCTGAAGACCACATCTCGGGAAAGCCTGATTGCAAACATGCGATATCACTTACGGTTGAATTTGTTGAATTGTAACCACAATACAAAAGTATATTTTGATTGATCAAGGAATGTGTTCAAATGCTATACATTAGGTCGAGTTGGGTTGGCGTTCTTAAGGAAGAACAAGTCACATATTGTAATTAGATCACACAGATTCTCCAGTAAAAGTGTATGCATGTGTTTTATTGAGAATTAGACGAGTAACGGGGAATCTGGTAACAAGCAGAGCTAGTTATACTAATAACCTAATTATGGATCTTGTATTAAAGCTGTCTTTCATAGTGTTTCATATCTGGAAGTAGAGCATTTCTACACCATTTCATACACGTGAAGATCCAGTATGGGGTGTCAGCCTCACTGACTGGTTGATGCATGTGATATCGTAGATCGATCCTCATGAGGGCATTCACTGGATTGTCTGATTGGTGTTTGTGGTTTAATATTCCAGCAACATGGCGGCGATCTGTAAATAGTCGAGTCTGGACCAAACAATCCAGTGATCAACATCATGGGCACCGGTCTATGCAATTGTGATACGATGACATGTGTCAACCAAGTCAGTCTGACCACCAGCCTGGTTCCCAGTGTCTGTTGCGCTAATGCTCAGACACTGACCCCGGCAACCATTACTGCAAGGCGGCCACTTATGTGTTGGGCAACACTTGATACATTTACTGGAATAATTCGAGAACGGGAGGTTAGAATTTTTTCATAGCATCTTCATCGATACTATGGCAAATTATACGTCACCAGAACAACGCCCATCGTTACCTTTAGCCCACGAAAACGTTATTTAAGTAGTTTCGAAACACGAAAATCGTCGTGACAAGGGCGAAATGTAAACAATAACACACACCTCATTTTCAGCACCGACATATGCGTTGATATTTCGTGTCAGCTCGCTTTTGTCACGAAATCGTACACATAAAACATGAACGACCACACTCATTGAATATAGTTGGCATCTTTATTTTAACAAATTTGATGACATATATTTCGATGATTTGGACCCATTTACCCCTCTTGTGTGCTGGAAATAATCCGAACTAGAAAATGGTTCTTACCATATATATATATACTGAACCTAATTGAAAACGCACCAGTGTAAAATTGTCCATATTTTCATCAAGATGGATTTCAGCATGACGATGATCAATGAATATAACTAACATGAAGTCGAAGGGCATGTCCAGTTGAAAAAAAGGCTTTAGAAACAAATTCCTGTCGACAGTATGACTCTTAATTCCAAAATGCATCAACAAGCAGCCACGCCATAAATAAAGCACGAATTTCATTCTGAAATCATACTGACTGTGACATTAAAAGCAGGTGTCTGAGAACCGATTCTCATTGCTTCACTAACGATTGTGAAACGAGGACAGAAATTGCGAGGTTAACAGCTCACGAAAGAGAACGTGCACTAGGCATGATTCAGGTTGGCACCAGCAGCAGGGATATTGCTCGACAACTTGGACTTGGCCACTCCACCACCGTTAGGCTTCATAGACGACATCAGTAGACAGGCAGCACCCGTGACCTTCAATGACCTTGGCAACAACGTGTTACGACGCTCCATCAGGATCGCTAAATTGACCTTGTCCATTTCAGTGATTGAACATTGCCGACTGCCAGCACTGCTGCACTAGTTCAAGGTTGACGTGGGGGTCATCAGCGCTGACTCCATGCGACGCCGTCTACACGCTACAGGGCTCCATGCTCGACGTGGCATGGTGTGGTAGTCACTGACGAGTTACGTCTTCATCTACGTATCGCTGACTGCCGATTACGTGTTTGGCGTAGACCTGGTGAACGTTATGCTGATGAGTGTGTGGTTCAGACAGACCTTTGGGTGGTGGGAGTGTCATGGTCTGGGGTGGAATAAATTACAATCACAGGACTGCCTTCGTGTCTGTCAATGGAGAGTTTATGCCCTTTATTACCCTAAGCAGATTCTTCAGAATCACATCGTATCTGTCTTCAATCACCACCAAGATGTCAATACTTTTCAACAGGACAACGCACGGGCACACACAACAAGACTTCCCATGCAGTATATGGCCCAGCAACACATCCAGGTTATTCATTGGCCAGCACAGTCGCCAGATGTATCCCCCATGGAGCACTTGTGGGACGAAATTGGTCAAATTCATTCGCGGCGACAACAGATGCGAAACATCCGGGAACTCGAGGCTGCACTACTGCAGAAGTGGAATGCCATCCTCAAGAACTCTATTCGGACGCTTATTGACTCAATGAGGAGACGTTGAACTGCATGTGTCAATGCAAATGGCGGTCACACGCGATATTGACTTTTTGATTGACCCCACGTGTGTTTGATCCTTTCTGACTGTGGAACATTTCAATGAATGAGCGTCTTTTCTATGTTTTTGTCAGTCGTCCATCTGTTATTATCCACTCAAAAAATATAAAAAATATCAATTCCTTACACGTGCGTTCAGTATTCATATATATATATATATATATATATATATATATATATATATATATATATATATATATATATATAATTATGAATAGATCTGATACATTTGAAACACATAACTGATTAATTCAACTATCTATTTTTAACAACGTATGTTTTCAGAAATGGAATGATGATAAAGAAGAATTTATTTATTAGTTTTATTCATTTGGCATACATGTATATCATTTCAATATAATATCCATGTCTCTTCTTCCATTTTGCGTCGGATTGATCATGGTGATGCAATAGCCATTGATCTTAAAAAGTACAACAACATCCATGGCAACATGTGCGTGATGCTACCGAGAAGTGTTATTGGCCTGTTATCTACTGGATATGGAAAAATCACATGACTATGATCTGAGACCATATAATGAATATTCCCTACCCCACTCCAACCTCAGATACAGCTCCAGTTTTTTTTATGTAATTGGAAAACGCACACATTATGAACTATTGATAATGCTTAAGTTTGGTAAGAAATGTTTAGTAGAACACAGTTATTAATATTTCATAATGTGTCCGTTTTCCTATGACATAAAAAAATGTAGCTATATCTGTGTTTGGAGTGGGGTGTGGGACCTGTTGGCATTAAAATCACAAGAGACAGTCAGCCAGTTTTTTTCAGTAAAAAGGACATAGGCCCATAATAAAGACAATGTTTGATTGCACGGAACACACGTGCCAGTGAAGTAATTAATTAAGTTTCCCTTAGCTGTCTTACTTCATACAAATGTAGACATGAGTTCTATACAGCATCAAAGTTTTCAAATGAAAGAATTTCGTTAAAAGATTTTGGTTGGTAGGTGAGTTTGTTGTCTAACGCTGCACTCAGCATTATACCAGCTATATGCGGAGGTCTGTAAATAATCGAGTCTGGACCAGGAAAATCCGGGGATCAACAGCATGAGCATCGATACGATAAAAGATGTTACAGTGTGGAACGTGATGTATAATTGTTGAAGATACATATTTCTTAGGGCTGAATGATGCTCACATACAAGCAATATATGAAATTTATCTTCAACAAAAGATCTTCCCCTTCCTATACAATATTTACAAAGTCCTTCAGTGTATGGGACACTTCTGTATCTCCAAACATCGACTGCAGGTTTAAATCTACCACATCTGAAACGACTCATGCATAGTCTTAGGTGTTCAGTGACAGGGAGTAAGATACTTTTCTATATTTATCAGTGATTAAAATGTTTTAATAGAAGGGATCAAATAAACTGTCGTGAAGACAAATCTGGATTATCTCCCTTGCTTGCTTTGCCGCCATGAAGTAGGGGAATAATGACTTTGATTTTGATTGTGTTACAGTATTCTTTGCCACATGTTATGCACGTGTTCAGTTAATATTTCTTACATAAAACCAAGACGTGCATACAGAGAGTTCCATGTTCCAAAACGCTGTCTGCTAACCGCCATTTTGGATAGAGGGAGCCATTATTATTTTGAAATCTATTATGTCAAGTTATATATTTCCTCTCTCTGCATGTACATGTAAATGGTTAATTGTGAAACTACTGGTGTGTAATGGACGGTTATACTGATTCCTTAAGTGAAACTAATACGTCATTCTCCAAGTACTGCACATCTGCAGACGAACACAAATTAAGGTCCGTCCAGCTACGAACATATTATTTCACACATGTTCTTACATATGACGACCAACTTTGGTGTTTTTATCATTAAATGGACATTTCTAATGGAAACTATCTTAGCCGAATCACTAAGATGGAGGATGGATTCGTTAACGGGTGAGTGAGTGTGGTTTTATGCCACTTTTTGCAATATTCCAGCAGAAATGGGGGACACCAGATATGGGCTACACACATTGCATTCATGTGGGGAATCGAACCTGGGTGTTTAGCATAACGCTTTAACCACTAGGCTACCCCATCGCCCCGAACCAGCTAGCGAGCACGTCTACGACGTTGGTTCTATACATGTATGTTGACAATACTCAAGATGAGGAGGATGAGGCGGTAGGCGCAGCAGAGACACACGACAACGTGTCCCAGTTGAAACCTCTGGCCAAGGGTCCCATTCAAGGAAACCAACTCC